AGCATCTCTCTATTTGGGCTCCCTAATCATTGGTGTTGTGAGTAATCTTGAAGCTTTGTGCGCGTTTTGCAAAACAGCCTGGCAAATAGGCAAAAGAAAATAGAGCAAAGTAATTTTTGTGCCATCTCTAAAAAAAGGAAAGCCTACAAAGCCTACATACAAAGATTCTATTCTGTTTGTTTCGGGTTTTTTTTTTTTTCATTTACAGTAATGTTTTAGAAGACAATAGGTGCCTGGTATAAATTGATGTAAATTTTTTGAGGCCAGTGGCATCAGTTCACAGCAGTTAAGATGTGGCTTTTCCTCTTGCAAACTCCTTGAGCAAGAAATATGTCTTTTTGAGCTGGATTTGTTGAATTCAGTAATGCATTCTCACAACTTTAAAATGCATAGCTGAAGCAAGTGCATCCTTGTATTACCAATTAGACCCACTTGGATCTCTAGAAATGAAATTACTCCAGCTGCAAACACAGTTTTGCTACCTGTGCATGCAAAAGACAAAGAGGTGCACACATTTTTATGCACAGCTGCATGCAGTTTTTTGAAAATCTGGAAGCCTAGGGGTTCTGCAAAGCACTCAGTAAAATGTGTATCAAGTGGAAAAAAGCATATTGCTAAATCTCTAAGTTCAGTAAATTCTCTCTCTGTTTTTTTTATTTGACAACCATGGAAGATTGGTGGCTGAGTATGGACAGACACACATTTGAATGGGGGGAAAAAATGATAACAGTGACAAAACCATTCTAATTAAAGATTATTCTTACATGCTTAAGCCAATGCATGAATCCAACCTCAGTACATTAATTTGTGATACTTAAAAACAGTTAATATGTTTTGTTTTATTTGTTATTTGGTTGAGCAGATGGTAATGGTTTTGACACAATTCAGTTTTTTATTTTTCTTCTTTTCTTTTCTTGAAAAAGACAAGGCTCTTTTTCCCACTTTGTCACAGCTGGTTACCAATCAATCTCAATTCACGGTACAGTGATGATAGCACATGTTGTTCAGGGGCCAAATCTGATTGGGTTGCATTTTCAGCAGTGTTTCATATAAAAAAAAAATGTGTCTGTATGGCAGTGACTGTCAGCACACTATTGTACAACTGTCATTAATCAAAACTAGCAACAATGAATGCATTCATATGTGCCAGAGACTGCCAGATTTCACTCAAAATCACCCAATTTCTATTAGAATTTCCTCACCAGCAGTGTTTTCTCATCTGCTTGTTGTTTCTCTGTTTCTTTCTTCCTTTCCAGTCCCCTGCCCCCTCTTCCTTCTCGGTTAATTAAAGGCAGACCTGCTCGAAGTATTACTTGTAGAACAGTAATTATGTAACATGGTGCCCAAAAGTGGCTGGTTTATATCTAGGCACAGGCTGGCTAGCCGCTTAAAGACCTCTCCCAGCTCAGTCTGATGGCTGAAGTCTAAGCTGAACTGAAAGGTTAAGCACCTCCAAATGTTTAACAAAGAGAAGTACTTAAAATCAATTAGATGTCCATAAACATGTGAAACTGATGTCTGACGCCCTACGTTTTTAGCTGAATGTTGTTGGCATTAGTTGGCTAGGAGTCAGCAATATTTTGGCAGTGTGTCAGAATGTGTTTCTTGACACAGCACATATTTTGAAGGCATTGCCTTCTTAGCGCACTGGCGATGTTAAGGACCAACTTGACCAGTACGCTCTGGTTTTCCGCTGTGCCATCATCAATTTGGGAGTCTGGTAACCTCTGCCTGTGATTGCTATTAGCAGTCAGAGAGGCCCTGATCCTGATTCCCAAGTGTTCAGTAGCACTAATCCAAATGAGAGTGAACTTTTCCAGAAACTCAGGTGGAAACATCTTGCTATGGGAATATGATGCTCTGGGACTGAGAGGAGAGAAGACTCTGTTCAAGACTCTGCAAGTGGATGCTTGAAAAACTGAAAACATTCAGGCTTCACTCCTTATTACTTCACGGTCCCTTTCTCACACGAACTCCTTGTGCTGCTGTGGATCAGGCTACAGTCCAGTTTTCTTCCTTTCTCCTTCCTGCCTGCTTCATCTGTCAAAGCTCTTCACTGAACTGTGGTGACTTCTGGGGACAATGTGGGTGGAACAGATGACTGAGGGGCAGCGTATCAGTACTTCAGGACAGCAGATGGTTGTAATGTCCCATGGGTCCATCTATGTACAAATCTAATTGCTAGATGGCACGTTCTGTCAGGGTGGTCCAAAAACCCAGTATGGCCTTGTTGGAGAAGCAGCCTGGGAGAGCTGGACCTCTCCTTGAAGTGATTGATAACTGGGCCACGATAGTGACATGTTTACGCCACCCTCCATTTCACAACCCAAGTGGGAGATGATGGGTACCCTCACTCTGCGTCCTGGCATGCCATGCAGCTGGCTCCTTCCCCCAGCAGCCTTCGCACAATTTGCATGATTGGCAGGTGCAAGCATAAAGACTGCTGAAGCCTCCAAGGCAGCTGGCTGGCATGCCGGCACCAGCACATTGGTGAATCGAAGAAGAGTGGGTCAGCTGCAGCCCACAGCAGACTGGAGGGCCCTGTCCCAGGCTGCCTGCATCCAGTTCAAGCAGTCACTCTGTCAGATACCATCCTGCTGCCTGTCTGGTTTTATCTCGGCAGCAGTAAGTTAACCACAGGGATGTTATTTGTCCTGGGGGGGGACGGGACACACAATTAAAGAAATGGTTAATTGTGGCCCAGCTTCATAACTATGATTCTTACATGCATCTTGTATTTATATTACAGCTCATCTTAGTTTTCTCATCTTACAGGAGCTGAATACAACTTTATATTTTTAGTCCCCTAGGGCTGGCCTCATGTCAAGAAAACAAGCATTTTCTCTTGTCTGCAACTCTGTGGTCGCCAAAGACAAATAACTGCTCCATCGTTGTGGGATACTGTTGTCACATTCTTGAGATGTTTAAGGGAGACAATTTGCCTTTTCTTTCTTATGAAAACAGTGATTTCTATTTGCCATTGACTAGTGCAGCACAGCATGCAAAATGACATAATTTGTGAGCAGTCGAGAACAAATGTGCCTCAACTGCATATGGCTGTTGAATGTAGTTGCAATAGATCTGTACTGCTCCAGAAACTGCATATTAAGTTCTCTAGCGTCACAACTTCTCTCTGCCCACCTCCCCCCCCGCCCCTCGCCCCACACAATGTTACTATGCTAGCAAAAAAATTATCCCTAAAAGTTTCTGAAGTTTGCCATGGCATCTACTTATTCTTCCCCTTGGCGTATCTCTTATTTGTTAGTTAAACCTGAGATATAGCGTATACATATAATTAAGTGTGACTCCTAACAAAAGGGTTATTATATATGTTTATGTTTATCTCTGACAGCATGGTTAGCCTTCATTTGGTCCTTTTAATTTATTTTTTACTAATGATTAAAATGGACTTATTGAATATAGAATGAAGCTGTATGGTATTGTGGTGAGTGTGAAAAGATGTCTTGACTTCTCTTTATTCTTGGAATTGCTAGTAATGCTCTAATTGATGTTGTGAGCTTTAATTAGATGTAACAGAACTTTAAATGTTTCAGCATATAGGATCCTTTGAGTTAAGATGCTTTAAGGTCTGTTAGCATACAGTGCTCTCTCTCTACAAATCTATACTAAAGGAACCAATAGCAATGTATATTATGTGCACATAAATTAATATTTCAGATTCCCAAAGCATTTAAAAATACTCACAGAGCCTCACAACATTCCTGTAAATAATTGCATTACATCCTTATTCATCAAAACATTTAAGGGTGCTCTTCCATATGATTTCAATGTATTTGCTGAACAAGTCTACAAGGTCTTTACTGTATAACAAAGAGAAGGTAAATTAGTTGTTCTGAAGTTATGTCATGAGTGTGTATACAGTCAGAAAGAGTATTGATGTCTCCTGGAGTCTTGATCTTTCTTTAGTTTTGTGTTCCTGTTTCACTATTTGATACCTCAGAATCTGAAGCTAACTCTAGATTCAAGGTGACTTAATTAAGGTATCATGGGCTTATTATGTCTAGAAGAAGTGCTGTTGAAAATAATTTTACAAGAGACTATTTCAAGAGTAAAATATCCATGCTGAAAACCAGGGTTTTCCTGATTTGGGAGCCAAAGAAATTTTATACAAGATAAAGTCTCCCATTGACTTTAATGAACTTTGGGTCAGAGCCTAAAATAGTTTGCTAAGCATGACTTCTGCAGGATAATAACAATTTAACTGAAAATATTTTTCTAGGTGTAAGCACTCTAAATGCCTTGAAAATAAATGTTCACTGCATGCTGAAGTACTTTGTATTATTTCAAGTTTTATACAGCCTCATAGTTTTAGAATTACAACGGTAGAAACAAGGAAATGGACAAAGCATCATTAAATTGTTTCTCATTTCTTTTAAGAAAGAGAAAATGTTATTGTCCACCCTTAATGAATCATTTTGTGGTATTTCTGTGAAATTGATAAATCTCCTTTAATGTGCCTCTTCAATAAATGTCACCTTCCAGAGCTTAAATATATTTTTTATTGTTTGTAATTGTGTAGTGTCAGATCTTACCAACATGCTCACAGTTTCCCTAAGGGCTTGCTGCTGTAGAGAAAAACTATATATAAAGGGAAATTTCCAAATCAGCAAAAGGTAAAACGTGTACCTCACATAGTTAAAGGCATGATAAACCTGAGCTGTCGTGTATTGATAGCTGATGTCTGATAGCTTAATTTTATCTTATTGCTCTAGATCAAGGACAAGTGAATGATATTATTAATAAAGCCCTAGTACTGACTGAATATAGCAATACTAATTTTATGTAAAGTTTCTAACTAATGCAGAGTGCAATAAAAATGTCATGAAGAATAATGCTTGGTGGAATTATCTAATGCTAGATAATAATTTATCTTCCAAAGTTGGCTCCAAGATAGATTCAGGCTGGCATATTCCAGGTGAGAGTTTTCATTCATTTCTGTTGTCTACAGAAAAAATTTTCATTCTTTTTCTGCAACACAGGTATGACATCAAAGATGACTACACTTTGCGCATTAAGAAGGCCATGAGCACAGATGAAGGAACCTACACATGCATTGCTGAGAATCGAGTTGGAAAAGTGGAAGCCTCTGCTACCCTCACTGTGCGAGGTGAGTGTTCCCATGGAGGGGAGGGCTTGTGTCCTGTATGGATAAATTGCTTTCTGAAGAAATGGGCCACATCCTTACCTGGCATTGTTTGGGTTTCACATACCCTTTGCAATTGCGGGTGCTGGCACTGATTTACAACAGAGGTGAAATCCTAGTCCTGTTGATATCTCAGGCAAAATTTTAATTTAGTTCAATAAGGTAGGATCTCCCTGTAGTTAAAGAGCTATTCTAAAGTTTTTTGGTTTTTTTTTTTTAATGAAGAACAGATGCCTATATATGCATAAGCAAGCACTACATAACCATGGTCATAGACTTTAATATGTGAGCCATCAGTTTAGGCTCTTCTTCACATTCCTTTCTCTCGTAAGTATGAGGAGTATAGTAAGTAACTATGTTCATTAATGCCAAACATAATGCAGATAGTATTATTATGTGATTAGCTCTGCCATAATTAAACTCTCTACCGTTACTCTTTATCTGAAAGATAAACCCCAGCCAAAGGAAAAAGAAAATCCTAATTAAATTTTGTAAGTATTACAAGGTAAAGACTAACATGTTCTCTCCTAAAATATTCTTGGTGTCTAGTATCCACTCAGTGTTTATGTGCTGCTGTTTGATGTAGTAAGGAGGTTTTAAGACCAGTAGAATAATGAGTTGCCAAAATGTCTTTTGTGACAGTAGATACAGACATGCTAAAGATTATGGGGAGAGAAAAAGTTTTTAGGCTAATATTTCCATATGAGTAAATAGAATATAATAGTTATTACTTCATTCCAAAAGATAAGCAGCAATTTGGCACAATGGATATCATGCAGACACTATTTCACAGTTTAGTGGTGCATGCTGACGGTTTTCAGTAGAGCTGTGAAAGGTTAATAAAAACATTTTTAGCTTTATCTGTTCTTCTCTTTTCATACACATTAAATCAAATGTTCAAAGTCTCAGTGGATTGCTTTATTAGAACTGGGGTCAACTGACCCAAGAGGCCAGCTTCCATTTCCATCCATTTAATGCATGGACACAGTTCAGTTTAATTTGCTGAATTCAAAGGCAAAAAAAAGCACCGAGTGGCTTTGTAGGGGGGGAGATGTTAGTATATAACAAAGAAAAGAGAGTATTGTGATAATCCATCTGCTGAAACGTTACCTCAGTGTTCTCTTTAGACAATAAGTGATAATGCAGCGATTCCCATTTAAGATGAAGAAATAGGTTTACCTACTACATGCTTGTGTAAAAGACTGTTCTTCCATTTTGTGACGTGAGAAAAATAGTCACTACAGCGAGCTCCCAGAAATACTCTCACCCTGTTCCTTTGTCACAGGCAGAATCATGGTATCCAATAAATCTGGCAACAAATTCAATAGCCTTTAAACACTCCTCGAACTGTGTATACATTACTGGAGCAAGCCTTTTAGATTTGCTACCCAGACTTATGATATAAACAATAGCTAGAATCAAGCAAAAAATCCTTTGAAATCACTGAAGCTTGAACCTGATGAAATTAAGGTGAAAAAAACCCGAGGAAATATATAATTTAATCGATTTTCCTACAGTAAAGGCAGGTTTTCATTATCTTGAGTATTTTTCCCCCTGGGTTTGTCATTTATAGTCAAATTCATAGTGTTTACCCAACACAAAGGAAGCCACCTTATTATAAGCATATTAAATGTTCAGGATATGACAGAAAATGAGAAAAGCCAAGAAATTCTATGGAGAAGGTTATTACTCTGAATTTTCTGAAAACAAAGGACTGGGCAGACGCCTGTTGACTTTAAAGGGACCGTGAACAACAGTCCTTTTAATTAAAGGAAGCCTTAATTCTGAATTCTTAAACTTTTGCCAGTTTCGTCTGAAACTGCTTTTACCATAACCATTCGTCATGTAGAGGAGCAAAACCACATAATGCTACAAAATTTACTTTGAGGGTGCCTTGGTCCTTGCAGGTGTTGTGTAGTTACAGCTGCAAACCTGGCAACAGCAGCATTATCCTTAGCTCCCTCATTCATGGCTCCATCTTCTCAAAGCGGGGGATGAGGTTGCAGTCAGGGAGTTTGCATTTATACTGTCACAAACAATAACGCAATTTGAATTCTGTGGCTCAGCCTTCATGTCCTCTCTTGGAAAGGTGCACATCACTCTTATTCCTTGTGTCTCTGCAGAAGAAGGAATATGTCCATAATACTAGAAGACAGAAAGTCTTCAAATAGATGATGGGTGAGAAAGGGTAGCAGGCTTGCAATAGTTAAATGAAGTGGGTATGCTAAAGTAAGGCTAAGGCCACAGAAAGGTTGAGAACTAAGAAGGTCCTTGCATGCTGTGTTACCTCTGGATCTGCATATCTTACATTTGACCCTAGCCTGCACATAAGCATATAGAGCTGGTTAACTTCTTTCAAAAAAAAAAAAAAAAAAAAAAAAAAAGAAAAAAGAGAAAAAGAAAAAAAATGGTCCTGTTGCTCAGAAATGTGTAACTAGTTTGACTGCTAAAATAAGGGAAGCTTGGCCTACCCAGATGCAACCTGGAGTCAATTTTATGTCCAACTTTTCAGCTCTTCTGAAAGGGGATGTCTATATTTTATTAACAGGGGGACTGACAGCCCTCTTCCCCAGCACAAGTATAATGAAGGGCTGTTGCTATAATCAAGAAATCACTTGTTGCAGCAGCAGCTTTCAATCTTGATATCAACCTGAAACAGTATTAACCTGTCAATCATTCAGCAGCAATTTTTTTAGAAAGTAGAAGTTATCTAAGCAGTAATTTGGGAGGTTCTGGGTTGAAATCCCTGTGGCCATTTCAGCCTATTTGTTATATTTTCATCAGCACTGTCAGTGAGGAAAAAGCAGTGTGCTGTAAGCTTTCATGCCTGTTATTGAATGAGAAAAACCGTCCTGGGCTTTCTGTAGTCCTTACCGCTGTACTGACTGGCCATGCTCAAAATGCCATTGGTATTTGACTCAGAAAGCAAATGCCTTGCATCTACTGGCATGACATTTGGCAGTCTGAAGCTTAAATTGATGTGTTCATCGGGATCTAAAAGTTTGTGCTAATGCAATGCAATTTTTCTCTTATCAGGCATTAACAATGATACTTGATGATGGCATGTGAAGACAATAAAAATGTTCTCAGAGAATGGTTCCAGTCAGCTTGTTCAAATGCTATGCTCAAGTAAATGTGATAATAGTGGCACGTGACTAAAGAGTAACAACAGTAAACATTTTACTTAGGTTGTCATTTGAGGGGTTAGCAATCATGGTAGTATCCATAGTGGAAGGTAACATTACACGTCATGCATTCTGACAGATATTCTTTTCTTTTTTTAATTTCTTTTTTATGTTCTCACTACACCATTGTAATGTCAACAGCTCGCCCCGTTGGTAAGTAACCATCCTTCTATCCATTTTAGCATGGCTTCATGCAATGCTTCATCTTTCATTTGCAACAGCATTTAACTGGCTGAAATTAGCAGCCAGTTCTTAATAGTTTTAACTGTCTAACACCAGGCAAGTGATTTTGACTGACAAAGCGCTATTTCTGAACTTTGTATTTTCTGCTGTGTCATGTATAAATGCATTTACCTAATCACCAACAAATACCAATCAGTGAAACGGGGTGGGTGTGGTGATACTGAGCCAAAATCACTCATTCGGACGTTTTTAACAGTCTGTTTAAGGGCCTGGTATAAAAGCCATTGAAATCAACAGAAAGGATTGTATTGACTTCGGTGAGCTTCTATCAGGCCCTGAACGATCAGCTCATTATGCTTTTATTTCATAGCAGTAAAAGCACAGGCTTTGCATGTCCCGTCTTTCTTGTATCTTTCAAAGAGTTTTGAAATTAAGCAGTCCTGAAATTGAAGAGGGGATGGAGTAGATTTCCGTGCTTGTTAAGAAAGTTCTTCATTGATTTTTGCCCTTGGGTCATATTGGAGTGCGTTTTGGAATGCGCTATATAGGATGCAGACTGTTTCGAATAACAAGTCCAGAGGAAGACAACCTTTGGATTTTGAATTCCCACACTGAAAATTTGATTCCTTCCTATACCTTTGAAATTACTTCTGAAAATTTATAAAAATCTAACTGAGCATAATGGAAAAATTGCAACTGTCAGTAGCTGAAATTCACTTTTGGTGTTCAGAAATACCCTGAACATATTACTTAATTTTCATTCACGGATGTTTACTCTGTGCCTGTATGGATTTTCTAAATAATTTAACCAGTTGCACTCCTCCTCTGATTTTTGTAGTTTGTGTTTAGCTGTATCTTTTAGAATAATATGGTTACTCTGATTTTTTGGATTAGTGTGAAAAGTATGTACTGGTGTTTATGGAGATTGTTGAGGGGTTTGGTCTGTCTTTATGTAGTCAAAACTTATGTTAGATATACATTTGACTAAAGTTTGTGAGTTTGAACTTGTCTCAGCTCTTCACTGTTACGAGTTGGAGGAAGAAAGGTTGGAATAACTTAAAATGAAAATCCAGGTTAGGCCTCTGTTTCCAGAACTAAAGTGATCCCATGCTTATTAGCTTGCTTAAACTAGCATGCATAGAGCCAAGCCAAGAACCTCCGCAGTCACAGCATGGCTTATCCATACCTGGAGAATGCCCTGTGCAGAATGAAAATTCACTGGTCTCCATCTGGGATTTTGATAGCAAGCTTTAAATGTCAGTCACTACTTTATTACTTTGGCATTACGCTAGTTCTCAAGAAATTAATTCCCAGGAGTTGTAACAGTGTAAAACTGGAGTAAACTAGTAAGAAAATTTTCCTTTGCTTAGAAAATATAGTTTGAATTTAGTATGCTTCTAGTGTAAATCTCTGATGTTGGCGAGGGGGTGTTATAGCTAATAGTGAAATCTCCTTCTTTATTCACCAAGAAAATGCTACTAGGTTAAAAGTATTTTGCTTCTAGATATTTTTCTCACTTTGCTGACTCTTAAAAGAAAGGCAAGAAAAAAACCCACAAAGTAGAGACTGTTTCAGGTTCTGTGAAAGCCACATAAAATAAATGACTGGAGATCCACAAGAAAATGATAGGTTTCAGCAGTGTTGGTAGTGTCTCATTTCAGAACACATTCGTTTTTAAGACTTTTCAGGCCGTTGAGTTATCCATGATTCCATCTCCAGAGCTTATACAGAAGCTCTTGGTCTCAAGTTACTTTGTGTCCAGGTACATGATCCCCTTGCGTAACCATGCTGTGGTCAGTTTGTCATATTCCCTGCTTAAGATATTTTGTTTTGTTACAAGTAAACATCTAGTACAAAGAAAATTCTTCTTTTGCAAGATTTATTCAGGAAACATAAATTAGAATGGTTGACTTTAAAATAATTATTATATGGTCATATGGTCTTTATCAAATTATTTAATTTAGTGATTATCTTTGTGAATTGTGAAAAGATTAAGTAAATAAGTCGACCCCCAAAGATATATAGAATTCCCATAGAACCGTGTATGTACTGATTGCCATATATAGGCAGATCACTTCCTTCAGATCACTTTTATCTGATCCTGTACCTGTAGAAAAGGCAATTCTGTCCTTATGATAGTGTATGCCTTTATTGTTTTTTGCTTAAGGACCTGAAGTGAAATTAATTTCTACAGTTCATATCTCTGTTTCAGTCAAGCGTAGGCAAAGCAGGTGGCTACCTATCCTGTCTTTCGAAAATTTAAAGCCCAGTAAAGCAAAACAAAGCAACTTCCCTCTCCACCACCACTTCCCCACCAAGAAGCCCAAATAATCTTCTGTTAAAATTGTCATTTGACAACAATGGTGAGTCAAATCTTGTAGTGTTTTTTTGTTCAGGAAGTTAACTGGAATGCAGAACAAAAATAGCTCTCCTTACAGAAAGGAAGCTAAAGTAAATTCTACTTAATGTTATTAAGCTCACAGCTCTCTAGGAGGATGACATTTTAACGGAAGTATATTTATATATTTATGTATACGTTAAACTGCAGGGGAGCAGTTTAAAAGTTTATATTCTTTCGTGACACCTGAGAATTATCTACATCATTCTACTTTTCATCACTACCTCCAATTCAAAGCAGGCATGTTTTGTCTTTAATGTGTTTTAAACAAGACCAAACCATTTTCTTTCAATGCCTTGCCACTGAAGAATAGAGGAATGCTTTTTTTTAATGTTCCAGGATTGCAATTCTTGTTGCAAACTGAATAATTTTCATTTTCTATTCAGTTTTTGCCTGTTTCAAAATATTTATATTCTGTTAGTTGTGATATTTTTTTTTAAACTTCAGCTTGAGTGGAAAATTCAGGAGTGGGATTACCAATGACCATGTAAGGTTCAAGCAGTTATTAACATATGGTACATACTACATAGACAAAATGAGGTACAGTTCTGCCCGAGGTGGGTGGCAGCTGGTGAATTTAACAGCTCCTATGCCAGATTACTCATCATGTTTAGATTTGCCCTAGGAATAAATGTGTTGCCTGTTTCTAAAATAGATGTTCTCTTATTTATAACCTTTTGAAAAGATTTCTGACAGGATTTAAAACAGATGATTTTAGGAAGCAAGATATTTACCCCTGTTTAGACCATTTCTGTTGTTATTTCACTCATTAGATGGATTTTCCAGGTGAGCAAGTTAGTATTTTCTCACTTTCGCATTCTGCTGTATTTCTTATGGCAGCTGGGCAGGAGAATAGCTGTTAAAAGAAGCACAAAAGTTGGGAGGAGCCCAAAAGTTTCATATAGTCTTGCTGAAAGTAACACTGACCCTCTTTTCAAAAGTATTTGCTATACTGCTTTGAGATGGAGGACCTGAAGTTCAAACAGAAGATCTATGAAGATCTGTCTGATGTTTCAGTTACCTTTTTACTAATAATCCAAAAAGTCATTCAGATGACAGAGTGCTCAATTTTCAAATTAATTTCAACTACATCCAAGTGGAAATACAGTTCTTTGCATTTCAGTCGCTTTCCAGAAGTCAAGTTTACTTAATTTATTGTCATATGCTATGACTCATCTTCCCAGAAAGAGGCGACATACAGCAAATACCGAGATAGTTTTGCCACCTGATAGAAATTAGGTATTTAGAATTAAGTAAGGGGAGACCAACCAAGTTACAAAAACTGCACTTCTCTACCATGTGGGAGAAGAAACAGATAAGACACATGCCATGAGCTTTCCAAATTTCAGAATAATTAAATACAGTGTATTCACATTTCAGTGCAATGTGACTGTATGATGCGTTTCACTCTGCTCTGGGAAGTTTTCATGTCATAAATCAGCCTGGCATGAGTTAATAGTTTATTAAGAGTGGTGCATCATGAAACATAAAATAGAAAGGGCTGTCTTTTAAACAAAGTTGTATTAGGTGTTGTGGCTTGAAATTATATTGCTCAGATGGTTCAGACTGGTGAGAAAGATCTCTATTCTTCTCCATTCTGACTTTTGCAGGGAAAGTCTATATAGGATGAATGCTTTTATTTTTCATATATTCATGAAAATATCACCTTCACTTGAGACACTGAGGATTTATACAACATCAGTAATGGCGATTGGTGTGTGACAGAAGAGAAGAGATCATGCTTGGCACTACAGTGCCATCTTTCAGTGGCAGAAATCTCCAGTCCATATCAAAGTGTGGTATGTTGCCTGTCTGTCTGCTGCTACCACCTATAGAAATTTTCAGAAAAGAGCGAGGACATCAGTGGACATTAGGCTTTTGGGATATGTGTCTTCCTTAGGTGAAAGAATAATGCATCAATCTTGTTTAAAAGTAGTGAATTCTTTAGATAAAAGAGAAAAGGTTGCCATAGGGATATTTGTATAACAGTAAGAAATTAAAATGAGCTGATTTGTTCAGACATTTCTTAACCTTTTAAAGACCGGTCTAAAAGTCCTAAAGTCCTTAGCATTTCTACTTTGGCAAAACTCCACTAGCTGAACTTACACTTGAATCCTACAATGACTTCAGATATTATAGAAATAAAATGTTTGCAATATATGGGCTAGAACGGCTCTGCAAGTGGACACTGAGCACATTAACCACCAAACATTTAAGTGCTGGTTCACAAAACTCGGCTTCATTTCCAGCTGCTCCAAGTCTTCTTGGGTATGCCAGATAGTGATCAGAACAGAAACATAGAAGATGTAATAGAGGATTCTTCTTCAATGATAAGTGTGAAAGATGGCAGTGCACGTACTTGAAGTTTTAGCAGGTTATACTATGACGTCCTACGGTACCAAGTATGTGCCAGTACTCATACTCTTTTCTCTTAGAGAAAGCCCAGTTACAGCAAGTGCAGGAAGTGATCAAGGGCCTGCCTTCTTTTTTTTTTTTTTTTTTTTTTTTTTTTTTTTTG